GAGAAAATCCAAGTTAAAGTTTATGCAAATGAAGACGAATCTATATCAGATATAAAATCACCTTCATGGTCATGATTTCTATTGTGTTTTCCTCATGAATTATTAATGAGTTTTTTAAATATGTTATATTATGTTATGTTATGTTATATTATATTCCATTGGTTTTTTTTTAAGTTAAAGTTTGATCATGCTAGAGTGCACGCACTGAACATTAATTAGTACTAATTAGTACTATTTCCTACAGAATCCTTTGTTTTCTATTGTTTATTTATCACCATTTAGTATTAAAAGTTAGTATTTGTTTCACGGGTTTAGTGCGTGCACTCTAATCGTTGCATACCAACATATTATATTATAGATCTCATGTTCAGTAGTATGTTTTTCCTCTCTTTAGAGTAATTTTATCGATACCCTGAAACAAAAATGAGCCTCTGGGCATGGCTTGTTAAGTTTTGCTAGCTGAGGGACTCGGGAAACCGGACAAAATAAACTCTTGAATCATGGAACTTGCTATAGAAAAACTTTATTCATATGTGCTACTGAGTTTGGGATCGAACCCAAGACTTCAGAGGTGTTAGGCGAGTGCGTTACCGCTACAGCATCCTTGATTCCCATTTTGCTAGATAGGTACAAATGCAACTCTATATAGACTATAGTAAAACAACAAGTTGAAACATGACCAAATTCTTCTCCGGTGATGTGGAATATTTTGTATTGTTTCGTAGCCAACCGCTTTGTTTACGTCACTTTAGCGCATATCGTATAAGAATTCCAATTTGGAATTTGCTGACCACAGCTTCTAGACTGGACTTAGTGCAACTCTATATAGACTATAGTAATACGACAAGTTGCAACATGACCAAAACGTACCATGCACCCTACTGTTCGGTGATGTGGAATATTCCATTGTTTCAAAGCCATTGGGCCGTTTTGTTTACATCGCTGTAGCGCATGTAGCGAATTCCAATTTGGAATCCAGTGGAAGAAGAGCCACTCTGGAATCTACGTTAATCCCATTCTTTTTAAATTAATATTTATTATCATTAGAACTTAGCTTACAGACATACATACACAGTCGACATGCAGAAAGTGATTGAATAACTTGGTCGATATTCACATTACACAGGGTGTTGTGATTCTTAGATTCTTTGTACAAGAGACTCTTCAAGAACATCCGAATAACACTTTCATGAAYTTAAGAGACTGATTCAAGGGTTTTTCTCCGTGTTCTCCACTTTTCCTCCCTCTGCCAAACCTAACAATCTGTGAGTTAGTCCGTAGATTTTGTGAATTTTTTAAAAGCGAAACTAGCTACCCACGATCAGGGATAAAAAATATGCAACTAAGCAGTTTTTTTCTTTCAAGAAGAGTCATTTGAGGCGCTTGTCTTGACAATCCTCTCATGAATGCAGGCAGTAGTGCTAGATAGCTAAAGGGATAATATTATGATAATATTATATCATATCCTTTACCGCCAACCGGTTGGCTCAGTTGGTTGAGCATCGGACTTTCGTGCGGGAGTCGTGGTTCTACTCCCGGCCGGACTTGGTGCAGGATCTTTCTTAGTCAACCCCTTTTGGGTTGTTCCTCCTGCACCTTTCCACTTCTTTCTTAAGTTCTATTTGTAATTCTTTGCTTTTTGTGTGTGGAAAGATAAGAACCTTTGAAACCTTTGACCAACACT